TTCCTTCACAAAAAAGTACATACTTTTAGGGGGTAGTATAAGTATGCAAATTGGGACGCCACACATGTGTTTTTTGGACTTGTGGGGGAAACCCACGCCAACACAGGGAGAACATGCAAACTCCACACAGAAATGCCAACTGACCCAGCTGGGGCTCGAACCAGCAACCTTCTAGCTGTGAGGCGATTGTGCTACCTACTGCACCACCGTAGCGCAAAAAATATGCTGGACAAGTTGGCGGTTCATTCCGCTGTGGTGACCCCTGATTAATAAGGGGGCTATGCCGAAAAGAAAAAGAATGAATGAACAATAAGTTTAGATCTCTAAACAGTTAGCTTATTGTTCACTTCAGAGTGGCATTTCTTATTGATTTAAGCAGATACTTTGGCACATGTGTGCAAACAGTAAGGACAAATGTGTCTAGTTTGGTCAAATACTAATTGGAGATGGCTTGTTCAGTCAATTCTCATTTAAACTGTCAAACTCTTCACAACTTCTCAGATACAGTTGTATACGCACTTGTTTACACCATAAATATCTGATATTGGCATTGTTTGTAATGTCTGCTAAATTGGTAAATGACCTGTAGTTGCAATACAATTTGAGTTATCTATTTATTAATCAAATTTGGTAGCATTTTTCAAGACACTTCTACACAGCTTAAAGTGACATTTTAAGGCTATGTTAATTAGGTTAACTAGGCAGGTTAGGGTAATTAGGCAAGTTATTGTTTAACCATGTTTTGTTTCTGTAGACTATCAAAAAAAAAAAAAAAAAAAAACAATAGCTTAAAATATAGCTTAAATAATTTTGACCCTAAAATGGTTTTCAAAAAAATTTAAAAAGCTTTTATTCTAGCTGAAATAAAACAAATAAAAGTTTCTCCAGAAGAAAAAAAATATAATCAGACATACTGTGAAAATATTTAATCATTGACTTCCATCATAGGAAAAACAAATACTACAAAAGTCGATGGATATAGGTTTCCAACATTTTTCAAAATTTCTTCTTTTTGTGTTCTAAAGAAGAAATAAACTCAAAGAATTTCGAAACAAGTTAAAGGAAAATATATGATGATTTAATTAGTATTTTTGGGTGAACTATCCCTTAAAGCCGGCAGCTAGCTCTCTGCAACCCTCACATGGTTGCCCACTGAGACTAAGTAGGGCTGTGCATGTTCAGTACCTGGATGGTGAACCATATTGCTGTCGGACGTGGTGTTAGTAAGACCAGCAGGGCGTGCTCAATCTGTGGGTGCTAATGCCCCTGTATATTGATGGGGACTCTACTGCTCAGTGAACACCTTCTTTCAGATGAGAAATTTAACCAAAGTCCTGATTCTTTGTGGTTATTAAAAATCCCAGTATGTCATTTTTATTTATTTTTTTTTTTTTAATATAGGTGTTTAGTATTTTGGCCAAATTTGGCCAAATTTGCCCACTGGCCTCATAACATCCTCATATCACAATTTGCTTCATCACTGTCTTGTCATCACTGGTGTGTGGTCTGGCACACTAATAAATTAATTATGGCTTTAGTTGGTCCAAAGAATGTAACTTCGTTTAAATTAAACAATTTACATGTGTTTGTGAATTAAATCCAAAAGATTGTATTTGAAAAAGATTTTTTATTTACATTTTTTTTTTAGGACAACAGCATCTCCAGCAGAAAAGATATCCAAAAATGCCATTTTAAATTGTAAAAAAAAAAAAAAAAATATATATATATATATATATATATATATATATATCTATGAAACAAAGGTCAATAATTCATTTGTTTACTGCTCCAAAATATTTTAAATGTTTTGCAAGTTAAAATAAATTCTGTACAAAGGAGTAAAAAGGTTTTGTTTTTTATCCAGACATTCAAAAAGAATATATTTAAGAGCAGTAATCATAATACCATGATACCGTGATATTTATTTTCAAGGTTATCATACTGTCAGAATCTTTTACTGGCCCATGCCTACTCTCAGCTTGTTTAGATTGGCGCCATAATAAGGGAATCAAAAGATGAAGATTACATTACAAATTGAAATCTGCTTTTTCAGTATAAAGAATATATTATTTTATAAATCATTTAAAGGCAGACTTATTTTTTATGGGGTTTTTATTGCAACATGTGAAAAGTTTTATTTTGAATAGTGTGTTTTTAGTATGTTTTTGCAAGCATTCATTCATTCATTCATTCATTTTATTTTCAGCTTAGTCCCTTTTATTTATCCAGGGTCACCACAGCGAAATGAACCGCCGACTTATTCAGCATGTTTTTACGCACATTTTACCCTTCCAGCCGCAACTCATCTGCGGGAAACATCCACACACACTCATACACTACAGACAATTTAAGCTACCCAATTTACCTGTACCGCATGTCTTTGGACTGTGGGGGAAACCGGAGCACCTGGAGGAAACCCTCACGAACGCAGTGAGTACATGCAAACTCCACACAGAAACGGCAACTGACCCAGCCGAGGCTTGAACCAGCGACCTTCTTGCTGTGAGGCGACAGCACTACCTACTGTGCCACTGCGTTGCCTTGTATTACTATTATTTTAATCGTGTTAATATTTTAACTTATTGTAATAAGTAAAGATACAGACAAAAGACAGGATTGGATTTTGATAATAATTTTATTGCTGGAAAATTTTGAAACTTTAAAAATGTTTATTGTAAAATATTGTGAAAATACTATTGAATAAACTCAATGAAACAGATGCAGTTTTTTTATTTTTTATTTGGTTAAACATAACAATATACATTTTGGAATAATTGAACTCACATAACTGCATAGATTAAAGCTAAGTTATGAATGTTACGTTGATTGAACTAAACAACATTACATTACCATTATGTAACTAACTTATATGTAACTAACTTAAGTTCATTAAAATAAATATTCTTTAAAGTAACTTAACTCGGTTACCTGAAACCAGTGGACACAAAAAAGTAAATTAACATCAACATATAATTTTTTTTAATGCACAATATGGCTGCCTTCGCGTCATTCAGGTGGATGCTGCACACTTTTGGGGATGAGGAGATTTTCGTCCCCCAAAAATATGTAAAGTGCTTTAAGTGTCCAGAAAAACAATATATAAATGTACAAAAATAGTATTCATTTTTAAAGGATCTTTAAATTTAAACAACAGGAGTGCTTTAGTGATATTTTCCCTGTGGTGATATTTCTGCTTTTGAGCCTTGAAAAATCCTTGGCCACTTGAGCAATTTATTTGGCGTTACTGCCAGACTACATTATTGGCGTTGAGTGTTATTCCATGAGATTATTCTGCATTCAGATACAATATCTTCAATGAAAACAACTGAGCTGTTTCTTATGGCAACTATTTCTATGACCACAAAATGATGTGATATTTTGATAAATGTGAACAGTCTCTTCTTTTTCACTTTCCATTAATGCAAAATGGCAATCCTCAGGGAAAGCACTGATCTGCTGTAGGTTAAATCTGCTGTAAGGACACATTTTTGTCACATCACATATGCACACTTCAGTAAACTGACAGTAGGCTTGTTAAGCTTGTATGCCATTTTATATGCATGGTGAAGTCTGTATAAGGGGCAGAAATCTAGCTGTGATGATTAGTTCACGCTTAAGCCATTTTCTCCAATAAAGGCAAATGGTTAACATGTTTACATGACCATTTGCATTATCATCATAATAAGCACTACCGAGTAAAGAACATGCATTTAAAGGCTGTCACTGAAAGCAAAACAAACAATTTTAATTTTTTAAGTGCATCCAGACTAAGCAAAACTATTTCAGTTAAAGTGGAGGAAATAATGTTTAAAAGCAGAACGTTTTTTGACTGTTAGAGATAAAAATGTGTTCTCATGCAGAAAAAAAAGTACAACAGTGAAAAAGATGTCTTTAGAGGGTAAAATAAACAGTAGTTTCCTGTTGACACTTGGCAATACTTAAATTATTTTTAGTTATTTTATAATTATTATTTTCCCATGATGACTGACAATAATTTAAATCATAAATAGGACATTCATGGAACACTTTAGTTTAAGTATCAATTTTCTCTATTACTTCATGGCTTGTTATTACCCAAGATACTGTTTATTAGTACTGTACTTATAAAGTATGACTTTAATATCACATCCCTAATTCTACGCATTACCTGCTACCTTAGCTAAAAATAAGCAACTGATTAGTAATTTATTAAGCTAATGGCCTTAGTTAACACCACGACTGGTAAAAAAAGCATACTGTAAATATATAGAAAGGCCTGAAAACAGTAACTTTTCATTATTTGGGTGAACTACCCTTTAAAAGCAGTAAAATAAACATACAAATATATATAAATAATATAAAATAAATGTGGTCAATATTACAATATATTGTGATAGTATTGGGGGTTTACGTTTTCAATTTAATTTGATTTCTAAATAATATTAAATATATATGTGTACTAAAATATATGAACACTTAGTGTTTCACTTAGTGAAATATGTTTTTAATTCATTGTAACTTATTAAGCTAATTTAATCATGTTGTAGCTTAATTTTAATAAGCTATACAACCAGTTTTAGGTGAATTTAACATATATATTATATATAAGTTCAATTGACATATTAGGTTAATTTGATTCAGCTTAAAAATTTAGGGCAACCAAGATTTTTTTTTTTTTATAACACACACACACACACACACACACACACACACACACACACACATATATATATATATATATATATATATATATATTTTTTTTTTTTTTTTTTTTTTTTTGGGGGGGGGGGGGTGAATTACCCTTTGACTTTGGCATAGGCATTAACATAAACATATGTATCTATTTAGAATATATACTACAAATATATACAATCAGTGACATGAAAAATTATTACCTCAACATGCATAAAACATATTTCTATATATTTGTCTGTCTGTGTGTCTGTCTGTCTATATATCGATCCATCTATCTATTTATCTATCCCAAGGTGTAAAAGACATGGCAAGCGTTCTCTATTGTTAAGTAAGTTAATTGGGACAAATCTGCTCAAACTCTCAAAGACTAATCATCTAGGTTAAGTAAGGGCAAAGATAATCCGCATGCTCGCAGTCCAAGTTGATCCGACACAATCGGACAACCCACGTCTAATCGCACTCAACCCCGCATCGGCCATTACCCGCAAAGTCTAGTTATGGAGGTTTAATGAACGCACAGCTAATGCGTAAATCCGGACGCCTTGGCATGCGCCATATGCGCCTGACCGTACATTACAGCAATCCTGATAAGCTTAACGGAGTTGTTCCTGCGACGCATCATGTCCGTTCTGACTGGTTTGTGCAATTTATCCATCTGCACATCCACGGAGTGCCCCTGATCACCGTCTACGTACGCTTGGTACCTTTCCGTTTCAACTGCTCTGCGCTCCTCGCAACATATTGTTTTGAAAACTAGGATCGCCGTTTTCCTCGGGGTGTATCTGGATATCCCTTTAGTTTGCCAACGGAATAGTCAACGCGTTTATGGATTCACGACAAAACAATGGAGAAACAGGCATCAACTGAAACAAGGGAATAAACGGGGGACGCTCGGAGAGAGGAATAACCAGTTTAACAAGAAATCTGGGGTAACTGCCCGATCTGGAGGTGCGTGTGGTCGTTTTCAGCTCATTTTGGTGGAAACTACACAGGGATGGTGTTCTAGGACTCGGAATTTCAGTGTGCAAAAGAATGCACCCGGCTTTGGTTTGCCACTTTTCTTTTAAATCAAATAAGATGCGCTGAAAGAGCGGATGTTTTAAGCGCCTCCGTTTAGGAATCAAGTGGAATCAGAGCGAATGGATACCTTTTCGACGATTAAG